TTGTTTTAAATATATCATACATAAATAATAAATTAAGTGTACAAAATTTTTCACAAAAAATAAATAAAAAATAGATAAAATTCCATTATAAATTAATAACTGAAAATATATCTGAGTGCAGTTTCAAATGAATTTATTTATAAATTTTATATGTATATCTTTTTCAAATAAGATGACTTTAGGGATAACCCAAGACCAAAATTCAAGGAATAACTGTGTACATATGTTAGGAAAACATTATGACATCCGTTTTGACTTTCATCGGCTTTTCTATAAGAATATTTAATTCTATATTTAAAAAAAATAATACAATTTCTCTTACAAAAAAAAAATTTGTTTTAATATTGTATTTGTATATAAAAAAATTTTAATATCAAACAAATTTTTATACTTTTTACATTGTAAATATTTCGGAGAGTAGTGAACTACAACAACAAAAATTATTTTTTATATTATTATTAATTAATTGAATTTTCGGCTGACCACACAGCTATTTCAAATATTGCCAAATACCTGTCATCAGTTATCTTGGAAATTATTCGTAAATAATTTTTTGAGACTGCAAATACCAAGGATTGGACTCCTGCTCTGCTAAATTTGAAGTACGGCTTTGGGTCAGTTGACCAGTGGACCAGTATTCTGAAATACTCGAAAATACTTCACATATATAATATACATATATTGCATCAAGGAGACCCATTTAGAGAATTGAGAATGGGAAATTTAACTTACTAAACTCTTCTGTTAAATAATTCCAAAAACAAACCTAATATGAAAACCTAATATGTAATGTGTATAGTTACAAGTATCTCGATACAGATATACAGATACATATATCTGTACCTTGATTGTTACTTGGATACATTACCAGTACCAAACTGTGTCTGTATGTAGATTTAGTATGTTGTATCTTTATGTTAGAATAGATCGAATTAAAAATTATATTAATGCCTCAAAATTTGATTTCATTATTTAAAATTTTAAATTCTAAAATTTATAGTTAAAGTCAGATGTACCTTGTGATCCCGCGCTTATCCAATCGGTAAATTTGTTTTATTTTTACGCTGGCAACACTATTATACACATTCTGTCAAAGTTTAATGCATATCGTACGATTAGTTTTTGTTTGGCGTATATACAAAGAAGTCGAAAAATTATCGTGTGGCGATTTTTATAATGGATCAAAAATTAGAACAGCGTGCATCAAATTTTGTGTTGCAAATGAATTCAAGTGCGCCGAAATGTTGAAAATGTTAAAAAAGGCCTTTAGTGATTGGTGTGTGTCGCAATCACGAGTATACGAATGGTTTAAAAGGTTTAAAGATGGTCGTACATGCTTGGACCATGATGATATCCCTGGCCGCTCAACAACTTCTGTTACTTAAGAAAACATTGAATCGGCAAGCAGATTGTGTCGGAACATCGTTGTGAACTGATTAGAGAGATTGCAGTGTTGTTGAGCATCTCATATGGATCGGCCGAACACATTTTAACTGATGTTTTGGGTTAAAACGCGTCGCTTCTCGGCTGGTGCCAAAAAAGTTGAATTTCATTCAAAAAAAGCGTCGTTGTGATGTGGCCAAAGAGATGAAAGTGACCATATATGCGATGCCCAACAACAGATAGTGTCAAATGCATCATAACTGGTGATGAGACATGGGTGAATGATTTTGACATGCCCATCAAACAACAATCGACCAAATGGTGCTTCGAAGTGAGTCGAAACCGAAAAGAGAACGCCAAAGTCGGTCCAAAATCAAGGTTATGCTGACTGTTTTTTTCGATATTCGTGGTGTGGTACACTATGAATTCCTTCTGGACGGTCAAATGGTCAAACGGTCAAAAGGAGTATTATTTTATTAGTATTACAGCGTTGGTTGTGTCGCAGTTTTTGAACAAAAACTCCTCCAATATCATTAACCAAGCACCGTACTCTCCAGATATGGCCTCGTGTGACTTTTTTCTCTTCCTCTTCCCCCGACTCAAATTGCCATTGCGAGGAACGCGTTTTGAGACCATAGAGGCGATAAAAGAGAATTCGCTGGGTGAACTAAAGGACATACCTTCGGTGGCCTATAAAACTTGTATGGAAAATTGGATCAAGCGTTGGCATGCATGTATTGCCGCAGGAGGAGAGTTCTTTGAAGGTGATAATAAAGGAAATTATTAAAAATTAAAATTTTGCGTTTTTTTTTAATTTTCGTTCTTTTTTGATCATAAGGTAAGAACACTTTTTGATCTTAGTTTCATCTAAATAAGATATCAATTGAACAATCTTTAATATTCCACCGAAAATAGTTTGTAAACTTTTATTTATAATTTTAAATACATCAGTATTTTAAAATTAAGCTTAAACTATATTTTTAGTATATCTGGCTTTATATTTTAAAATCAAAAAATATATTAAATTCAGAATTATATCCATTTATTAAAATATGATTTCATAACCAAAACTTTCAAAATTATATATAAGATCGTGAAAAAAAGAAAAGTTACATGATATGCATTAATTTATTGAAATATTTTCATAAAAATATCTATTTTAATTTGCGCTTAAAACAGAAAGATATCGAATAGCTGTCACTTCAAAACTTCAAATGCCATAAACTTTGTAGATACATTACGACAGATATTAAAAGATTAAATTTTATGTCTTTGATAAATATTGACATTAAAAATATTAAATGTTATTATGTAGCTATTATGTACGTTGGTATATTGTAAGTTTATTAAAGTTTACACAGAGGTTCAAATTAAAATGTACCACGTAGCGTATGAGCAACATGTTTTCCCTTGCAAAATGTGACTGAGCCCAGCAAAGATACCGTATTTTTGTGTCTTAAAGGTTTTATATTGAAAAGATTTTTTAATACTTTTAAAGCTAATAACTTAAGTAAATACTCACCTGCGGTGTACACTCAGAGGAATATTGCCTACAATAATATTTGTCTGCGTGTCGCTGTTGCTGCTGCTGCTGTTGCTAGTGTTGTTGTTGTTGTTGCTGTTATCGTCCTGTTGCTTCTCGTTTACTTTTGAAATATTTAACGCGCCTCAATTTCGTACTCAAATATTAGTTCTGAGATTTCGTTGGCTTTTTTCGGTTTTGTGTAATTTGTGTTTTATTATTACTTTTCTTTTGCCCACTGCCGCCAAACATTTACGGTGCTGCATTTACTGCGAGATTTATGAAATTGCCGGAAATCGGAGCGTCGCAAGTATTTTCTAATGTTTCCGTTTCCTACGCAATGTTCTGCCTGGAATTGTTGGCAGCTTCGGTTGCTTCAGCTGCTTCAGTTACTTTGGTTGCTTTAGCTTGAATTAAATTAGCACGTGATGACGATAATTTTTTTGGTTTGTTTTTTATTGTTATTTTTCATTTTTATTATTGTTTTTCTTTTATTTTCTTTTTGTTTTTTTTTTTTGAATTTATTTTAGTTCCGTTTTACTTTGTAGCTCACAACAACCGAGCGTGGTGGTAAGCGTGAAAATTGTACGGAGAGTTCTAAAATTTCACCGGATTTAAGTGAAATTTGATGCGGGTCACGTTTAAGGAATGTGTTGGGCGGTTAATTGCTGTTAAAAGGGGATTTTTAAATTTAATTTAACCAAAATTATTTATTTAGACTCATTAGCAAAATATTCATTGAAGTTATGTATTTTTAATATTTTCCCTATAATTAAAAGCAGAAACTTTTTCATTTATGCCAATGATTTATGAATAAAATATTTTCATCAAAGTTTTATAAATGTCTTTGAAATATTAAATGTTTTTGCTGCTAAAATTTGATGAAAGGAGGAAAGTTATAATTACAGGCAAATTAGATTATATTTGAAGGCTGGGCTGAGTTTTTTTAATCATGTACATTTTTCCATCAGAAATGGATCCTTTAAATCGCAACCCATAAATAATATAATATTGTCATTGATATTGTATTCGAAAAATAATTGATTATTTGTTACAGAATAGTGGTTGATGATAGAAATTTGACTAAAATAAATTATTTCGTTTTAATATCAGAATATTTTAATATCAGAACTTTAATACAAAAAAAATTGTGTACTTGAAATTAAAAATTAACTTTTGAAGAGAAGTCTAAAAAACTCGCAAATATTTATGTAAATAATAACTACATA